GGGTGGGGGACTCCTTAGCAATGCTAAGGGGGGGGGAACCCCTCCCAGTGATTCTCAGGTCAGCAGGCTGGCAATTCAGGCCCAAGGACGTACAGCTGCCCAGGCCCTGTGGTGCCAGGGAGCCTCCAGGGCTACAGCTGGGCACCATGTGGGGCCAAGAGTCAGAAGGAACGAGGCTCTGCTGTATACCAGGCTCGAACGTTTGATTTCAAAGGTATGAATCGTAACTCCTGCACTCTGGCCCAGGCCCTCATCTATGCCTACTACCTTTAAACTGAAATTTATTGTGGTAAGTGCTAGGAGTACACTAAATTAACTTTTCTTCAAAAGCCTATCAATTGGGTTAGTAACACCATTTATGGAATTATCTTTTTTTTCCTTACTGATGTTAGAAAATAAAATGAATACAAACCAAGTGATTTATTGATAAGAACTTACTTAATACATAATTTAACACATCAAATAGATTTAAAAAGAAGTCCATTTTATGAAAACACATTGTTTGCATTTATTTATATCTTCCCCAGAAAATACTGGTGTTGGGGCTGGAGCAATAGCACAGCAGGTAGAGAGTTTGCCTTGCACGCGGCCAACCCGGGTTCGATTTTCAGCTCCCCACATGGTCCCCCAAGCACCACCAAGAGTAATTCTTGAGTGCATGAGCCAGGAGTAAGTAACCCCTGAGCATCGCCAGGTGTGACCCAAAAAGAAAAAAAAAAAAGAAAGAAAGAAAGACAAATACTGGTCTTGACCCCATATTCTGCCTTCTGGCAGGTACCACTTCAATGGCTACTTAGCAGGCAAGCTCCAAAAGACTTGTTCATAGCACTCATCTCTGATTCCTCTCCTCTCCCTCTTGATTCACTTAAACAATTTTCTGTCCTCACTGTTCTTTTCTATCTGCTACTGTTACTGTAGGTCACCTCTACCTTGCTATAGACGACTGTTCAACTTCTCACACTTGCAGATCAGCACCTCTCATGCACACTGTTCCACAGACTAGCAATTATAACCTAAGTGGTAGACCAAGAGTTCTCAACCTGTCCACACCTGCAGATCTGCACTGGTCTGGGGAACAGTGTTACAGACCATTGCCTTGCTTTCTCCTTACCTGAACTATCAAAGGTATCACACACACAGGTAATAACTATTTCTTGAGAAACTTTCTTGAGTTTGTTTTAGGACGTGGAACGTACCTAACTTTCTCTCTCTCCTCACTGTGCTTTCTTCATTTCTTCTGATCACAACTGAGACACACTGCAGCCCCCAGAGCCAGTCATTTCTACCTTCACATTTACTCTTTAGTAATTCCACGTAGTATCGTAATTTATAAATCCATCTCTATATTAACTTCCAAATATCTATCTTCATCCGAGACCTTTCCTGGTGCAACAAATTTCTGGTGCAACAAATTTTCTTCTCAATAACTTCATTGAGTTTTAGGGATATCCCACATCCAGTATGTTTAAAGTTGTACTCCTAATACTTTCCCCCAGACCCGTACCTCCCAATTTTCTTACCTCTATTAAAAGTAGTATTTTTTTTTCAGGCCTAAATCCTAAGAGCCAATCTCTGTTCATCTTCTTCTTTCACATAATTATTCTAGCAAACCCCATTAAATATGTCTCCAAAATATATTCAGAATCCAACTTCTCATTGTCCCCATGACTACAATTTTAGTCACCGTCTATTCTGTCATTATCTGAATTCCTGAAAGAGCTGCTTATTTGATCTGCTTCTACCTCTTCTGCTTTACAGTCTCTTCTCCACACAGAAGCCAGGACATGATCTTTTAAAAATGTTATTCTTACAGTATTACAAAATCTACAAGTGACTGCATATCTCCTTCAGTTTAATAAGCTGAAGTCTTCACTGTTACCCACAATTCCTCATATGATCTCTCCCTGGGACATGGCAATTGGACAGCGGTAAGGCAGGCATGGTCCCTGAGCATAGCTGGTGCTGCCCAAAAAAGAAAGATCTATCCCTCATTATCTTCTCTGTCCCTCACCTCCCAGTGCCCTGTTCACTCTACTTTAGTCTCTACTACCTATTCAGCACACCATGCCCCTCCTGGAGGACTCTTCCTCCAGGTACCCTTTCCCTCAGGTAGGCACTGAGTCACTTACTTCTTTAAGCATTTTAATGAAGGCACTACTTTTATGGGGGCAGTGCAGGGTTTGGGGCCACATCCTGTGGTACTCAGGAGGTATTGCTGGATTTGTGCTGAGTGAATCCTGGCTGTGCCTGAGAGGCCATAAGTGGTGCCATGGACTTGAACCAGTGTAACCGACATGCAAAACAAGTAGTATCACGATTTATAAATCTATCTTAACCTCTGTACTATTATCCCCGGCCCCGAAGTAGGACTGTCTGATTTGAACACTCAGAAACTATAACGACGCCTGGCACATAACTGGTGAATGAGATATGTGAATGAGTGATTAAAGAACTACTAAAGATGATTAGCTGGCTAGTGACCTAAACAGTAGTCAAATGCAGGTGGCTGGAGTAGCTGCATGGGTTGGTAAGAAGGGAATACTGAGATCATGTCAATTAGAGGGAACTATACCCTGATTATCAGTCTGTCACTTTGGTATCCATCACCTCTGCAATAATGTGAAATTATTTAAAATAACATTAGAGGGGCGGGAGCGATAGCACAGTGGGTAGGGCATTTGCCTTGCACGTGGCCAACCCTGGTTCGATTTCCAGCATCCCATATGGTCCCTTGAGCACCGCCAGGAGTAATTCCTGAGTGAAGAGCCAGGAGTAATCCCTGTGCATTGTCAGGTGTGACCCAAAAAGCAAAAATAATAATAACAATAATAACATTAGATTGGGGCAGGAGCAATAGCATAGCGGGTAAGATGCTTTCATGGGACAGGGCTGACCCAGGTCTGATCCCTATCATCCCATATGGTCACCTGAGTAATGCTAGGAGTGACTTCTGTGTGCAGAGTCACTAGAAATCCCTGACCATCACTGGATGTGGTTAGAAACTGAAATAATAAAATAACAGCAGTTAAAAGCAAAACAAAAAAGGATAACCTTGCTCACTATGGGCCAGAGTGATAGCACAGCAGGCAGGGCATTTGCCTTGCATGCGGCTGACCCGGGTTTGATTCCTCCATCCCTCTCGGAGAGCCCGGCAAGCTACTGAGAGTATCCCACCCGCAGGGCAAAGCCTAGCAAGCACCTGTGACCTGTATTCGACATGCCAAAAACAGTAATAAGTCTCACAATGAAGATGTTACTAGTGCTTGCTTGAGCAAATCGATGAACGAAAGGACAGTACAGTGCTACAGTGCTTGCTCACTATACAGAAATATTACCGTATTCTAAAAATTCTTCACCAAAGCTTTGTTAACAAAGACTAGTAAATAGAAAATGACTTAAAAAGATTAATAACTATGGGGGCTGGTGTGATAGCACAGCAGGTAGGACGTTTGCCTTGCACACAGCCGACCCAGGTTCGATTCCCAGCATCCCATATGGTCCCCCGAGCACCGTCAGGAGTAATTCCTGAGTGAAGAGCCAGGTGTAACCTCTGTGCATCGCCGGGTATGACCGTGTGATCCAAAAAGAAAAAAAAAAAGAAAAAAAGATCAATAACTATGATGAACAAAAGATTAATAACTATGATGAACAAAAATCATGTTTAAATATAATTAAGGAGGCGCCAGAGAGACAACAGAGTGGGCTAGGCACTTGCCTTGGAAGCATCCAACCTGGGTCAGGTCCCCAGCATCCCCTACAGTCCCCACACACTGACAGGAGTGACTCCTGAGTGCAAAGCCAGGAGTAACCCCTAAACATCACCAGGTGCGACCCCCTCAAAAAAAAAGTTAAAATAAACGTAATTATGGAATAAAATAAACAGTATCTTAGAGAATGTGAGAGGCTGGCTATCTTTCACCTTTTTGAAATTAGGCTGACTTTGAAAGCAATTTAAAATATCCTTCCTGCTTCACGCCTGACCAAGGCCACGAGTCCCCCCCCCCCCGCCCCCCCCACGAGTGGCTCTCCGACACAGCCATGGCAGTAGAAGCACAAGGACTTAATCCAGAGCCCAGCAGCTTGCGGCAGAAATGTGAATGGACTATGTGTTAAACTAAGGCGCCATGCCACCCCCCCCCCCCAAAGGGCATCTGTCTCTTCCTCCTTTTTCTCTCCAGGCAGCGTGGTGGCCGCCACCTCAGAGCTTATTAGAAAGCCAGGTATGAGCCGGTGGTGATGGGGCAACTGTAGCCACATGGGAAGGTGGGCAAAACCAACCGGCTCGTCCTTCACACCTGACCAAGGTCACGAGTTGCCCCACACGAGCAGCTCTCTGGCACAGCCATGGCACCAGACGCACAGAAACCAATCTCGTAATTATCTGGCTCTTGGCAAAAATCCCTCCAGATTTAATTATTAAAATATCAGAAATCCAAAATCTGATAAATCACGCGATAGCAGCTGCATGACTATGGCTTTCATAACCAGCAATAGAAAATAAATTATTTCACAATGCCTTTTCAGCAGTTCTGATTGTTGGGAGGAAATTCCAAACAATAATGGTGCACCTTTTGTCAAAATAATGAATGTAATCAAAGTAGAGAGAGAGTTAAGTAGAAATCATTTGTCTCACAGGCATCGGGAGGGGTGGGAGGGGGGTATATTGGGGTTCTTGGTGGTGAAAAATAATTACTGGTGAAGGGAAGGGTGTTTGATCATTGTATGACTGAGACTTAAACTTGAAAGCTATGCAACTTTTCTTACGGTGATTCAATAAATAAATTTAAAAAAAAAAGCACAACTATCAAAATAAATAAATAAATAAATAAAATATCCTTCTTGCATATTTTAAAATGCATGTACTGATTTTAAGCTCCAAAAAAAAAATTACCTAAATATATTATCAAAAAAAGTAATAATCACTAAACATATAATTCTCATGCATATTTTCACTACAGAATACGGTTTTTCAGGAGTAACTATCAACTCATGCGACTTACATTCTGTTTCATGTTTATAAGCACCTAATGTTAGCTGGCGAGATGTTGTTAATAACTGCTGCATCATTGCTGTTGGATCTTGAAATATCTAAAAGAACAGAATAAAAACAAAAATAATCCAGAAACTTCAGAGTTCCATAACAAAATATTTTCAAAATCTTTATTACAGTACCTACTTACCATTTCATCATAGAATTCTGAAACCACTGTCTTTTTCCCCAGCATTGCATTGGTATCTGATTGAAACAGCTTCAACAAATGATACAGGGTTACCTGTGAAGTGAAAACAGAAGTCACATTTGTGAAATGGCTTTCATTATCATTTCAAAACACCATATTTCTATAACTGAATTTAAAAAAAAATCAAAATCAGTATCTTATCTCAAAAATACAATTGTGACAAATCTCCCAAACTCAGTACTTTACTTTCTTATTAGATATCATCATCCATTCACATCTACTCAACATGTTTTGAAAATAGTAACTTCCAAACATTTCTAGAAGATAGCATAAGAATAACACATGATACAGCTATGGAACTCAAACTGGGAAATCATTAAGACATTAATTCTTTTACTTACACAGATAGAACTAGATTGTGATAATTATTCATTAAGATAAAGTTTAAAGACTGCAGAAAAAGATTTGATATTTACATTTAAAAAAGTTACTAAAATGTTCAATGAAACAACTCAACTTTTGTTTGTTTTTGGAACACATCCTGCTGTGCTCAGGGCTCACTCCTGGCTCTGCACTAAGGGATCACTACTGGCAGGGCTTATATGGGGTGCCAGGTATGGGATTAAGAACTAACTCCCATAAAAAGGATTTAAAAAGGATTAAATCCGAGGTTCAGGGATCGATCAAACTGGGTCTGCCACTGTGCAAGGTAAGTGCCCTACCCACTGTACTGTCCCTCTAGTTAGCATAACTTCTTTAATAATCTCACTATATTATTATAATAAACAGGAACAGAATTATAAGTTATATACGGTGGGAAAATAGCTTCAATATTTATGTAAGTCTGTTTTTATGCTTACATTTATTTATATCATAGTTTTAATTATTAATAACATTATCTTACAGATCACAAGCAACATGTATATCAGCAAAACCTTTGCAACAAAATAATTAAGTGATTGAAATAAAACTTAGCTGGTAGGCTAGAGCAATAACACAATGGGTAGGGTACTTGCTTTATACATAGTCAACTAGGGTTCAATCCCTGGCACTCCCTATGGTCACCGAGTCAGCTGGAAGTGATACCTGAACACAGACCCAAGAATAAGCCCTGAGCACCACCAGGTGCACCCCCCCCCCAAAAAAAAACCCAAACACATCAAAAAACAAAAACAAAATTTTGCTGGCAGAACAGAAGACTTTCTATGTTGAAGCTATAGAAACTAATACAGAGGCCTCACAATTCACAAAAATTAACTAAATTTATTGTAAGGAGAAGGCAGTATGTGTCATACTCAAAGCAGGTAATTTGACAAATTTCTGAAATAGAAGGCAAATGAGACTACACAGGTAAGCCAAAACAGGAACATCTACAACTGACTGTAAGAAAGAAAACTGCATGAGGGCTGGCTGCCAGCAGATCAGGCAGCGTCCAGAGAGGCTCGATGCTCAGAGTTGGCAAGTACAGAAATCAAGAATGCTGGGTAGCTGGACCCAGTGACTTCCTTTGATCTTCCTTCCTTTTTAGACAACAAAGTATACCCTCTGGTGGAACTGGGATTTCCTTTTCATTGTCTTTTCGGTACTATGAGTTATAATGCTATTGATAATACAGTTTCAGGCAGACAACGTTGACCCAAATCCCCACTGATGTCAGTGTCCCTCCACCGATGTCCTCAGGTTCCCTCCCACATACCCACACACTACCTTAGCAGTCTCACTGTTCAAATATTTACTATATTGTTGGCTCTAAAACGTTGGTTAGGGATTGGGGAGATAGTACAGAAGTTAAAGAGTTAAAACATATGTCTTACATGCAGCTAACCCTGGACTGATCCCTGGCACCCCCATGTGGTCCCCTAAGCCTTTCCAGGAGTGATCCCTGAAAAAAAGAGCCAGGAGTAAGCCCTGAGCATCACAGGGTGCGTAGCGTGGGCACAAAAACCAACACCAAAACAAACCAAAAAATTCAGACCTAAATAAATCTATTGGCAATCTACTCAATAAATCAAACAATGAAAAAGTGCTAAGGATCACATTCTCTTCACTTTTTTAAAAAGAGGGCTTTTGAGAATTGCCTTGAAGTGAGACTAAAACATTTCTTTTAGAAATGTGTTTTTTAAGTATGAGCAGGAGATCAGGCAATAGATGAGCTGATGGACATGAAGGCAGCACATTCTCAAAATAAAAACAAATCCAAAGTTATCTCACTTAAAAAGGAGCTTCTGCTTCAGGAACATCAGCAGCCTCCCTCCCATTGCTCATGTCTAATGAATTCCCTCCACCATTCGCTACAATTGACTCTTCTCATTTAGGCAAGAGCAAGCTTTTCAACTTTGTATCCTACCTCTTGAACAGTATCTTGCAAATAATGAATATATAGCAACTGCTTGCCAAATAAAACATACTGTCTGCTAGAGTATTCCAGGACAATAAAAGGGCAAAAGATCCTTACCATCCTGAAAATACACAGATCATCTCCAATTTATTCGGTGGAAAACTCACGTGCAAATAGCTATCAGTAAGTCCAAGGAGCCTTACCATAAAATAAAGATGTCTTAAAACCAGAACTACCCAAATCTGAACAGGATGCTTCACGTAATGATGTAAGTCAGTACTCTACATGCTTAGAAATATGCAAGTCCAAGTTCTCATCTGAAACACTGAAGGAATCGCTCCGTACATAGAACAAGGCTTTCATGAGTGCAGGTGTGTGCACCCAATCCCCCAGAATGCTGACATCTCTTCACACCTTACTGAATCATTCTTTGGGCTATGGGGCCAAGGCGTTTAGATTTTTAAAAATACCTCAGATACTGCTGATATTGGGCTGAAGCGATAGCACAGCGGGTAGGGCATTTGCCTTGCATGCGGTCAACCCGGCTGACCCGGGTTCGATTCCTCCGCCCCTCTTGGAGAGCCTGGCAAACTACCGAGAGTATCTCGCTGGCACGGCAAAGCCTGGCAAGCTACCAGTGACATGTTTGGTATGCCAAACACAGTAACAACAAATCTCACAATGGAGACATTACTGGGCCCACTCAAGCTAATCGATGAACAATGGGAGGACAGTGCTCCAGTGCAGTGCTACTGCTGATACTACCAGTGCAAAGCTCGTTATCAGAACTACCAGACCACATAATAATCAGTGCCTTTGAAAAATACGGAATGAGAGGGCCATCACTAAGTGGTGACCCTATAATAAGGCATAGCAGTTTTAGTCAAAAAAAAAAAAAGCAAGAGAAAGAGTATAAATTCTGAACACAAATATTTCAATTAAAAAATTAGTTCAGAGTTGAGAGCGCCGGGGATTGAATCCAAGGCCTCACCCACGAAGACAAGTATTCTACTACTGAGCTACAGCCTTAGTCCACTACAGTGAGTGGTTCTGAGCGCATGATTGATCTCTGAGCACTAGAAATCTCTTAAAAGAGAGTTACACCAGCAGTACAAAATTTGTAAAGGATCAAAGTGAGAGCTCTGAGGAACTTTTTGTATTAAAAAAAAAAAAGTTCTGACAAAAAAAAAAAAAGACCGAAAGATGAAAAATCAGTGGTTCTAAATAAGGTTTCATGAATAAGAAAACAAAATAAAGCAGTTAGTAACAATGGCAGTTTGAAAAAGTCAAAGGCTTTTTTTTTTTAAACTAGAAAAGGCTTTTATAACTTTTAAAATTTTGGTGCCAGGATTAAACCCATGGTGTCATACATGATGAGAGACTGCTCTACCACTGAGCTCCATACCAAGTCCCTAGAAAATGTTTTTAACTACAAAAAACTGGATCCTTTCAGGGCTACAGCAATAGTACAGGAGGTACAGCACTTCCCTTACACATGCCAACCCAGGCCCCATCACTGGCTCCACATGTAGCCCTCTGACTCCGCCAGAAGTGATCCCTGAGAGCAGATCAGGAATAGGCCTGAGCACTGCCAAGTATTTCCCACAACCCAAGAAAATAAAAATAAAATTGGATACTCTGGGCTAGCCTGATAGCTCAAAGGGCTGGAGGACATGCTTTACACAGGAAGGTTTGGGTCATTCCCCTGCACTACATGAATCCCGAGCACCAGTCAGGAGCAGCCCCTGAGCACTGCTAGGTACGACACAAAAAGCAACCAAGCACAACTGCACACTGTCACAGAAGAGAGCATGCAGGTGCAACTCATCAGAAGAAACCAAACGGTACTAATGAATTTTTAACATTCTTCGCTGTCATAAATTTCTATGTCTTCCTTGCAATAAGTATCTCTACTGTATCTCTTTTTTCTGTACATGAAGTTATGAAAAGCACTTCACCTAATAATGAACAATCTTACTCATTCATGGCAAGACACATTATGCCATTACTTTACATAAAATATATCTGAGTAAAAATGTCAACATGTACCAGGCTATGAATTACTGTTACATTTTCCTAAGAACTAAAAAATTATCGATTTTTTAAAGTATTAACATTACTCACAGGTCTTTCATTAGGATCAATGAAAAATATTTTGATGATTATTTCAAATTCACCCCATCCTGTTTCAGTAATTTCATATGGAGGTTTAGTAACGACTGGAGAGAGAGTTGAGAAATAAAGCAAGTGTAAATGTTCACTTTAGTTTCCAAGATCTTTTAAAAATATTATTAAAAAAAACACACACACACACAAAACACTGTACTTTACCTCTTAAAGGATTGCCATAACTTTCATGCAATTTAAATTGGATTTTCTTCACATAAGCTGACATATCCTAATAGAGAGAGAAATTAGTTCTGTCATCTACATATAAAAACTTGAAAAAAGAAAATATACTGAACATAGTTATTTAATTTTACATAATATACTTCTCTTCAATTTTGTAGCATTTCTAAAAAAGAAATACAGGAAGCCTTAAAATGATTTGATAATTCATAATGAATTAATATATACATATTCAAAATTCCCTTATTTTTGCATTATCTTTTATTCTATACATAATACTCTATCTGAATTTTGTCTTTCCCATAGACAGTAGATCTCCAATAATTTTTAAACCAAAAAAAAAAAATTCACGGTCAACTTTATTTATTTATTTTGAAGTAAAACAGATTTTATATGGAAGTTTTGAAGGGAAGGAGGGAAAAAGTGGGAGAGAGTGGAGAGTAACGTGCTCACGAGAGAGCCCCTACACACGTGTCAGCATTAGGCATGAAAGTATGAAAGTCCACATCTCAAGACGGGAGATGCAGGCACCACATATTCTTGGGCATCACATGTGCTCGGCCACGTGGGCACAAGCAGCACATGGGCTCAGGGAGCTTATGCATCCACAGTCAACTTTAAAGAACAAACGATATAAAATTAAGTCAATTAAACTAAGCAACCTAGAATGTTGGGAATAACATTCTTTTTATTTATTGAAGCACAGGAAGATACTTGTTCTGTGACATAAAAAGGCTTTCTTGTGTTAACATAGTTTAAAAATATATAGAAAAATAAAACATGCAAAACTGTAAATTACATTAAATTACATAAAACAGTAATGTTTATTAATATATACTATTTGCTTATAGGAATGTTCATGTGCTAATTAAATCCATTTTTAACTGGGATCATACTATAGTATCTTAATAACTGCTTCTATATCTAAACATTATATTATGAAAATTTTTTATGAAACAAAATTTCACAAGCATCTTTAAAGATTCTTTTGGGAATACTTTCATTTTTCCCCCACAATAAGTTACTACCAACATTGAGGAACCATATCATATGCTAAGCTGTCAAATAATAGGATCTTCCTGTGGAGTGGGAAGTAGAAAGAAAATGAGCATTTAAATGTAATCTGTATTATGAATACATTAGGTAAAATGCTAAAAGAGGCGCCCAACATAGTCTTTGGAGGTTAAAAAAAATAGTAGTAGAGAAACTGACCTCTGAACTAAGACCAAAGGGAACATTAGGAATAGGGAAGGAATGAATGAAAAAGTTTATGAGTATTCCTCTGGAAAAATGAGAGTTATTAATTAGTAGTAAAATGCAGATTATGTTGAAATGAAACAAATGCATAGATAAGGCTGCAGAAATAGGTAGGGAAAAGGTCATGGCAAGAGCATCAAAAATGACTTTAACTTCTCTCATGAAGATACTAAATAGTCATTGAAGGTGTCTTTAAAAAGAAAATAAAGAGCTGCTTCTTTGAAAAAATAAACAAGATTGATACACTACTAGCAAGACTCACAAAGACAGAGAGAGAACCCTAATAAACTGAATCAAAAACAGGACATCACAACAGAAACCACAGAAATTCAAAGGACCATCAGAGGTTACTTTGAGAATCTTTATGCCATGAAACAGGTGAACCTAGAAGAAAGAGGTAATTCCTGGATTCCTATAATCCCCCAAAACTGACCCAAGAAGATTTGGAATACTGAACAGACCTATCAATATCAAGAAAAATGAAATGGTAATCAAAAGTCTTCCCCAAAACAAAAGCTCTTTAAAGGTTTGAAAGAATTCACTAGTGAAGGGGACCTACTACCAGTCCTTTTCAAGCTTTCCTTATTGCTTAAATAAGGAAACTGAAGAAACAGAAACACAAAGAGTTTTTATGAGGCAGGGCTGAAGTGATAGTACAGTGGGTAGGGCCTTCTGCCTTGCACACGGCTGACCTAGGTTCGATCCCCAGCATCCATGTGGTCCCCCAAAGAAGCGCCAGGAGTAATTCCTGAGTGCAAAGCCAGGAGGAACCCTTGAGCATTGCTGGTATAACCCCAAAAAAGAAAAAAAAAGTTTCTATGAGGCAAATATCACCCTGATACCAATAGCAGACAGAGACACCACGTGCACACGCGCGCGCGCACACACACACACACAAATTACAGGTCAATATCCCTGATGAACACAGATGCAAAAATTGTCAACAAAATTCTAGCAAACAGAATCCAGTAACTCGTCAAAAATATCATACACCAAGATGGAGTTGGATTCATCCTAGGGATGCAAGGGTGGTTAAACATTCACAATTCAATCAACATACTACACCATATCAACAAAAGAAAAATAAGAACCATATGATCATAACAATAGATGCAGAGAAAACAATTGACACGATACAGCACTGATTTATAATAAAAGCTCCCAACAAAGTGGGAATTTAAGAACATCCCTGAGAGTAGCCAAAGCCATCTACCAAAAGCCCACAGCAAATTTATTTTCAATAAGGAAAAAACTAAAAGCTTTCCCTCTAGGATCAGGCACAACAAGGTTGCCCACTCTCACCATTCCAATTAAATACAGTACTGGAAGTACTTGCCATAGCAGTTATGCAAGAAAATTATTATCAAGGGCATCCAGGCAGGAAAGGAAGAAGTCAAGCTTTCATTATTTGCAGGTGACATGATACAATACTTAGAAAATCCTAAAAACTACAAGAAAACTCCTAGAAAACAATAGATTTGCATAGTAAAGTGACAGGTTAGAAATCAATACCCAAAAGTCCATGGCTTTCCTATACACAAGTAATGAAAGAGAAGAAAGAGACATTAAAAAAAAAAAACCCATTCACAATTGTGCCTCAGAAAATCAAGTATCTTGGAATCAGCTTAACTAAAGAGGTCAAAGAAAACTACAAAATGCTAATTCAAGAAATAAAAGAGTTCATGAAAAAATTGAGACACATCCCCTGTTCATGAATTGGGAGAATGTGGTCAAAATGGCAATACTCCCCAAAGTACTATACAGATTCAATGCAGTCCCTATAGGGATCCCCATGACATTTTTCAAAGAAATAGAACCAAACATTCCTGAAATTCATCGATTCGCTAGAGCGGGCCCAGTAACATCTCCATTTTGAGACTTGTTGTTACTTTGTTTGGCATATCGAATACATCACGGTAAGCTTGCCAGGCTTTGCCATGCGGGCGAGATACTCTCAGTAGCTTGCTGGGCTCTCCAAGAGGGGCGGAGGAATCAAATCCGGCTCTGCCAGGTTGGCTGCATGCAAGGCAAATACCCTACCACTGTGCTATCGCTCCAGCCCTGAAATTCATATTGAACAATAACCCTCCAAGTACAGCAAGAGTAATCCTTGAGAAAAAGACGATGGGAGGCACCACCTTCCACAACTTCAAACTGTATTATAAAGCAGTAGCACTGTAACACTGTCCTCCAGTTGTTCATCGATTTGCTTGAGCAGGCACCAGTAACGTCTCCATTGTGAGACTTGTTACTGTTTTTGGCATACTGAATATTCACGCCACAGGAAGCTTGCCAGGATCTACCATGCTGGCGGGATACTCTCGGTAGCTTGCCAGGCTCTCCGAGACGGGCGGTGGAATCGAACCTGGGTCAGCCGTGTGCAAGGCAAATGCTCTACCCGCTGTGCTACCGCTCCAGCCCACTACAAAGCAGTAGTAATTAAAACATCATGATACTGAAATAAAGACAGACCCGCAGATCAATGGCATAGAGTTGAATATCTTGACACAGTTCCTGAAATAGATGATCATTTAATTGTTGATAAGGGAGCAAGAAATATGAAGTTGAGCAAGGAAGGCCTCTTCAACAAGTGATGCTGGGAAAACTGGGCAGCTACATTAAAAAAAGAGAAAAAGAAAGAAAGAACTCAGATCTCTATCTAAGCCACATCAAAGGTCAGATCAAAATGGATTAAAGACGTAAACATCAGACCTGAATCCATAATGCACATGGAGGAAAATGTAGGTAAAACCCTCCATGACACTGAAGCTAAAGGCATCTTCACAGATGACCAAGCAAGAGGAAGCAAAGATAAACAAATGGGATTACATGAAACATCTGCACCTCAAAAGAAATGGTGACCAAGATACAAAGACAGCCCAGGAATGGGGAGAAAAATTATTAACCCAATACCCATCTGACAAAGGGTTAATATTAAAGATATATAAGGCATTGGTAGAATTTTACAAGGAAAAAAATTCAACCTTGGGGCTGGAGTGATAGCACAGTGGGTAGGGTGTTTGCCTTGCATGCGGTCAACCCGGGTTCGATTCCCAACATCCCATGTGGTCCCCCGAGCACCGCCAGGAGTGATTCCTGAGTGCAGAACCAGGAGTAACCCCTAAGCATCGCCGGCTGTGACCCAAAAAGAAAAAAAAAAGAAATTTAACCTCATCAAAAAATGGGGAGAGGGGACTGGAGCAATAACACACTAGGTAAGGCATTTGCTTTGCACGCAGCCGACCTGGGTTTGATTCCCAGCATCCCATATGGTCCCCTGAGCACCGCCAGGAGTGATTCCTGAGTGCAGAGCCAGAAGTTTCCCCTGTGCATTGCCTGGTGTGACCCAAAAAGAAAAAAAAAAGGGGAGGGGGAGAAGAAATGAACAGAAACTTTCTCAAAGAAGAAATACAAATGGACAAAAGGCACATGAAAAAGTGTTCTACATCATTAATCAACAGGGACATGCAAACCAAAACAACAATGAGACATCACCTCACACCATAGAGACTGGGACACATCTTAAAGAAGAACAAGCAATGCTGGCACGGATGTGGGGAGAAAGGGACTTTCATTCATTGTTTGGGGAATGTCAACTGGTTCAGCTTTCTTGGAAAATAATATGGACAATCCTCAAAAAACTAGAAATTGAGCTCCCACTTGACTCAGCAATACCACTTCTGGGTATATACCCTGGGGGCCCAAAAACACAGCAGAAATATCACCTGCATTCCGTGTTCACTACAGCACTATTCAGAATAGACAAAATCTGGAAACAACCTATTGAGTGTCCCAGAACAAACGACTGGATAAATAAACTATATTGCACTCAACAGGAATGGAATACTATGCAGCTGTAAGGGAAAATTAAATCATGAAATTTGCTTATAAGTGGATAGATATGGAGAGTATCATGCTGAGTAAAATGAGTCAGAAGGAAAGGAATAGACACAGAATGATTGCACTCACCTGTAGGAGATTTAAAAAAAACAGTATGAGACGAATACCCAAGGCCAGGAAAAACAGGGGCCAGGAGGACTGGTCACTGGTTGGAAGCTTGCCATAAGTGTGTGGTGGGAAAAGGACAGCTAAGATAGAGAAGGGACCAGTATGATAATAATAGTTAGAAATGATCACTCTGAACAAGAACTGAATGTGGAAAGTAGACAAAGAGATACACAGTATAACCTTTCAGTATCTGTATTGCAAACCATGATGCCCAAAGGGGGGAGGGGGAGAGGGAGGAAGATGGAGAGGGAGAAGGGAGGAAAGAGAGAGAAAGAGGGAGAGTGAGGGAGAGAGAAAGAGAGAGAAGAGAAGTGCTTGCTAGAGACAGACATGGGGTGTGGGAGCGGGAGGGAAACTGCACTGGTGGTGAGAAATGTACACAGATGAAGGGATGAATGTTGGAACATATGACTGAAACCCAATCATAAACAACCTTGAAACGGTTATTACAGTGATTAAAGATATTACAGTGATTCAGTTAAAAAACAAATAAAAAAATAAAAGCAAAGGGCCTACACAGACAGAACGGGGGTTAAGGCACGTAGCTTCGCCAGTTCACGTAGCCTATCCCAATCGAATCCCTGGCATAATATGGTCCTCCTGGCACCACAAAGTACCCCAAGTATAATTGGGAGTAGCCCCGAACACCACTAGGTATGACCCCCCAAAAATAAAATTTTAAATTAAAAATAAAAAGTTTAAGATAATTTATTTATCATACAATTTACCCAGAATGTAACATTCAATGACTTTCACTATATCTGGAATTGTGAAACAATGACCAATCACTATCAATTTTTATTACACACAAAGAAAATCCATTAGTGAAGTTTCTCCCAAATCTTTCTCCTACTCACTGGCAAATACAATCTATTTCAGTATAATCATATTATATGTGGTCTTTTGTATCTGTCTTTCACTTACCATGTTTCTAATTATCTTTCATCAGTGCAGCAGGTATTATTTTCTTTTATAATATCCTATTACATAGATATACCATATTTTATACATTCATCCATAAGTAGTCATTTGGGTTTCCCCTCCACTTTTTTGGGGGGGGGCTACTCTGCAATAATAAAGTGTAAACACTCTGGGCTGGAGTGACAGCACAGTGGGAAAGGCATTTGCCTTGCACGCAGCCGACCCGGGTTCTATTCCCAGGATCCCATATGGTCCCCTGAGCACCGCCAGGGGTGATTCCTGAGTGCAGAGTCAGGAGAAACCCCTGAGCATCACCCAAAAATAAAAAATAAATAACATAAATAAAATAAAGTGTAAACACTCAAATACAAGTTTTTGTGTGGTTTTTATAAAGTTTTACGTATAGTATAGTTTACTCATTCAATAAGTACCTATTAAATATGTACTATGTATCAGTTGTACTTCAGGTACCAGAATTCAGCAGCAGAATAAAATTAACAGCAGAATTATTATAAAATTATTTATAATTATAGTTCAGGGGTCAGTTTCTCTACTATTTATAAAATTATAATCTAATATTTATAAAATTACCTATAATTTTATAATCAACTGTATCATTGTATCACTGTCATCCTGTTGGTCATCGATTAGCTCAAGCAGGCTCCAGTAACATCTCCTTCATCCTAGCCCTGGGATTTTAAAAGTGCCATGTTCAAGGCTCTTTCAGGGTCAGGAGAATGAGACTCATCATTGTTACTGATTTTTGGCATATTGAATACGCTTGGGGTAAAAACAGATAATAGCTCAGAAAATCTGAGTAGTGGTCAGGGGTGTAAAATCACACTTTATGGGAACTCCTATGGGATTCTATGGGTGTTCAGGGACATCACTAATGAGCTTGTGTTGGGCCAAAGAGGAAAGTGATAGTAACACTCTTGCTAGTACTACCTACCCACTCTGTTGCACTTTATATTTCTCTTGCATTTGTGTATATATAGGAAGAGGTGTAAGCATAACATGCAGAAACCATAATGTTGTTTAACATGGGCAACAAGAGACCTATTGAACCCTAAGATTGTGAATTGTTTTATTTTTGTTAAGGTTTATAAAGAATTTAACTTTTTAAAAATAAACTTATTTTTCCAGTGGGTAAGGCGTTTGCCTTGCATGCGGTCAACCTGGTAGACCCAGGTTCAATTCCTCTGCCCCTCTCAGAGAGCCTGGCAAACTACCAAGAGTATCTCGCCCGCATGGCAGAGCCTGGCAAGCTACTCGTGGCATATTCGATATGCCAAATACAGTAACAAGTGTCACAATGGAGACGTTACTGGGCTGCTTGAGCAAATCGATGACCAACGGGAGGACAGTGACAGTTCACCAAAATTCAGTAATTTTTGATATGTAAGTTTTAACATATTGATATATTTTATATCACCTCTCTGTTCTCCTAGCATATTCTAAAATCATCTCTGTTTAATCAATGTTATTTACTCTCCCTTCTGTGGGAATTATTAACAGGCAGATATTCTGTGGGTTCCAAATATGTTATGACTACTTCTGTTCATGCAAGTAGGTTTCAAGTCTATAACATTTTCTACATATTATTTCAGCACTCTAAATTTTTTTTAAAAAGAAGAAAAAGAGGAGGAGAGGTAGGTTTTTAACAATTTTTAAGATATACACCCACAGTCAAATTTCTGAATTTTGACACTTAAGTTTTACTTGAGGAACCCAGGTGTGCGGGATCGGGGCTGAGATCTCCAAGCCTGCTCAGATTGGGACTGGGCCTCCTCCACCCAGATCCCCCATCTTCCATAATGTAGGCATTACACCCACCAACTGCCCCCAGCGCCATGTAATCCCATCAACGGCCAAGACCCATTGACTATAAAACCCTGCTCCCGGACATCTTATTATCTAGGTCTTACTCTGGAGAACCTGGCAGGCTACTGAAAGTATCCTGCCCACATGGCAGGGTCTGGCAAACTCCCCGTGGCATATTCAATATGCCAAAAAATTTTTATAATACTATTATAAAATACTGTAACTTATCTTCATGCAAACCAACTGCAGATAAAAACAATTATAGAAGAAACAAGTGCTTACCTCATTTCTATATGGTTTCACATATACTGTCCACTGATGGGTATGCCCGTCCTCTTCTCTTTTCTTTCCAAAATAGCGAGCAACATTACCATAAACTATTGGTTTAACAATAGTAACCCCCTAAAAGAAAATTTAAGTACCAATAAATAGTATGTCATTATCCAAACTAGCAAAAAAAAAAAAAAAAACCTCTGAAAAGTTTAATGGTCAGACAACTTAAATTTTGCATATTGACTTGGATTTCTGTCATCAAACCAATTTTAATCATCTTCATTTCATATTAGCACAAATAAACACCAAATTATAATGTTCCCACTTTGAAAATGTCTATTTAAATCATTATGTAAAGTACTTTGTGAGCTATTTACTTTTCATACTTCTGTTCATTGTGGGGTTGACACCTAGTGGTACTCAGAGGTAACGCACACAGGGTCTCACTTGGACTACGTCCTTGGCCCTTTGTGAGATTTTTTTAAAAGTAACCACAAATGAGGCCAGCAAGATAGTACATCAGATAAGGGCATCTGCCTTACACATGGTCAATCCGCATTCCATCTCCAGCACCCCAGATCCCCCAAACCCTCCGGGAGTGGTCCCTGAGCAATGAGCCAGTAGTAAACCCTGCTGACAGCTGGGTGTGGTCGAAAAACAAAACAACATACACACAAATGGCTCTAAATTCTCAAACTTTAAAAGTAGGCTTCAGAAAAATAGCATCAGCTATGACTACTATCACCTGTGATAATGACCTTAATTTGTTTATGGCAGTGATTTTCCAAATGTACTACAAATAATAAGGCAGTTTGGGAGAGAATTTCAGGGAGAATAAAGGGCAACCATTTCTTACTGTCACTGTCACTGTCCTCCCGTTGTTCATCCAGTGGGCCCAGTAACATTGCAAGACTTGTTACTGTGTTTGGCATATCCCAGGCTTTGCCGTGAGGGCGAGATATTCTAGGTAGTGTGCCAGGCTCTCCAAGAGGGGCGGAGGAATCGAACTCGGGTCAGCCGTATGCAAGGCAAACGCCCTACCCACTGTGCTATCGCTCCACCCTATTTCTTACTACATATGTTATTTGTTTGGGGGCATCAAATGATGCTCCTGGCTGTGCTCAGGGGTTACTCCTAGTATGTCCCTATATCCTGTGCTATAAATTGAATTGGGTTCGATGCATGCTAGGCAAGTATCTTAATTCCTGTACAACCTCTTCAGCCCCTACATTTACTTCCTTTTTTTTTTTTTTGCTTTTTGGGTCACACCTGGCTATGCTCAGGGGTCATTCCTGGTTCTGCACTCAGAAATTACTCCTGGCGGTACTCAGGGAACCATATGGGATGCCACGGAAACCCAGGATGGCCGCAAGCAAGGCAAACACCCTCCCCACTGTACTATCATTCTGGCCCCCACCCCACATTTATATTCATCAGTACAAAAAACTGTAACTAGTCATTCTAATTACAATTTAAAGATATTTACACAGAGAAAGGAGCTTTAAAAAATGATTTTAAGGGCTGGATAGAATAGTGGGTAAGGCACTTGCTTTGCACGTAGCAGACCTGAGTTTGAATGACAGTTCTCACCAGGCATATCCCTGAGCTAAAAGCCCTAAATGCAACTCTATGTGATCCCCAAACTCAAAATAAATAAAGTTAAAAAATTACAGTTAGGTTCAAATAATGTTAAATGGGTGGGCCAGATCCGTCCTTCACGCCCTACCGAGGCCACCAGTTGCCCCCCACGAGCGGCTCTCCAGCACGGCCACAGCCCCAGAAGCACAAGGGCTTAATGCAGGGCCCAGCAGCTTGGAGCAGAGAAGTGAAGGGACTATGCGTTAATCCAGGCAGTCATTTCCGCCCAGAGGGGAAAGGGTGTTGCTCCCTTCCGCCCTCCTCCCTCTGGAAAGAAAGATGGCGGCCACATGGGAGCCTTGTGGACAGCAGGTATGAGCCAGGGGTGTGGGGGCGACTAAAACCTCATGGGAAGGGGGGCGTTCCGGTCCGTCCTTCACGCCCTACCGAGGTCACCAGTCACCCCCCACGAGCGGCTCTCCAGCACAGCCACGGCCCCAGAAGCACAAGGACTTAATGCAGAACCCAGCAGCTTGGAGCAGAAAAGTGAACGGACTATGCATTGACCCAGGCCATCAAGTCTGCCGGAGGGGAAAGGGTGTTGCCCCATTCGCCCTCTCCTCTCTGGAAAGAAAGATGGCGGCCACATGGGAGCCTTGTGGACAGCAGGTATGAGCCGGGGGTGTGGGGGCGACTAAAACCTCATGGGAAGGGGGGCGTTCCGGTCCGTCCTTCACGCCCTACCGAGGTCACCAGTTGCCCCCCACGAGCGGCTCTCCAGCACGGCCACAGCCCCAGAAGCACAAGGGCTTAATGCAGAACCTAGCAGCTTGGAGCAGAAAAGTGAAAGGACTATGCGTTAATCCAGGCAATCATTTCCGCCCAGAGGGGAAAGGGTGTTGCTCCCTTCCGCCCTCCTCCCTCTGGAAAGAAAGATGGCGGCCACATGGGAGCCTTGTGGACAGCAGGTATGAGCCGGGGGTGTGGGGGCGACTGAAACTTCATGGGAAGGGGGGCGTTCCGGTCCGTCCTTCGCGCCCTACCGAGGTCACCAGTTGCCCCCCACGAGCGGCTCTCCAGCACAGCCACGGCCCCAGAAGCACAAGGACTTAATGCAGAACCCAGCAGCTTGGAGCAGAAAAGTGAACGGACTATGCATTGATCCAGGCCATCAAGTCTGCCGGAGGGGAAAGGGTGTTGCCCCATTCGCCCTCTCCTCTCTGGAAAGAAAGATGGCGGCCACATGGGAGCCTTGTGGACAGCAGGTATGAGACGGGGGAGTGGGGGCGACTAAAACCTCATGGGTCGGGGGGCGTTCCGGTCCGTCCTTCATGCCCTACCGAGGTCACCAGTTGCCCCCCACGGGCGGCTCTCCAGCACGGCCATGGCCCCAGAAGCACAAGGACTTAATGCAGAACCCAGCAGCTTGGAGCAGAAAAGTGAATGGACTATGCGTTGATCCAGCCCATCAAGTCTGCCGGAGGGGAAAGGGTGTTGCCCCATTCGCCCTCTCCTCTCTGGAAAGAAAGATGGCGGCCACATGGGAGCCTTGTGGACAGCAGGTATGAGCCGGGAGTGTGGGGGCGACTAAAACCTCATGGGAAGGGGGGCGTTTCGCTCCGCCCTTCACGCCCTACCGAGGCCACCAGTTGCCCCCCACGAGCGGCTCTCCAGCACGGCCACGACTCCAGAACACAGAAACCAATTTCTTAACTATCTGACTTTCAGTAGAAATACTTCCAGGGTCAATAAGTAAAATAGCAGAAATCCAAAACCAACATTTAATTCTTGAACCCAGCTGGAGAAAGCAAATCACTTCACAATGCTTTTTCAGCATGTCTGATTTGGGGGGGGGGGGGGGGGTAAACTCTAAATAATAGTGGTGAATCTTTTATTGAAACAATCTAATCAAAGCGGATAGAGTGTTAACTAGAATTCATCTGCCTCACAGGGACGGGGAGGGGTGGGGGGTGGGGTTTTATTGGGGTTCTTCATGGGAAAGGATAAGTATTGGTAAAGGGAAATGTGTTTGATATTTGCATGACTGAGACATAAACCTGAAAGCTTTGTGACCTTTCCCACAGTGATTCAATAAATAAATAAAAAAAAAAAAAAAAAATGGGTGGGCCAGAGAGTATAGGGATTAAGGTGCTAGCTTTGCATGCACTCAACACCAGTTTAATCCCTCGCACTACATATGGTCTCCTGAGTACGTACCTTCAGGAGCCAGGAGAAAACCCTGAGCAACAACTGGATGTGACCCACAAAACAAAAACAAGATATTGTTAAAATGGCTCTTGGAAGAATGAAGCTTACTAAGTACTGGTGGGTGACATTTTGCTGCATACTCTGTTCTAAGTTGGCTTGCACATTTCTGATTGCATCTGGCAAATGTAAAGGCCTGTGAGTTCAGGATAGAAAGGAGTAAGAAATTTAAGTGAAGAGAAAATACTGAATGTTACAGCTGAGTTCAATAATGGTGTATCAAGGCTGGGGGTATAGTTCAGCAGTGTAGCACTTACTTACCCAGCAAGTATATAGCCTTGCATTCATACCAGCCAAAGAGAACAAAACACAGTGTACACATCCAGAGAGCAAGATAAAGTCATATGTATCAAGGGGGGCGGGCCCCAAGAGATAATAAGGGGCTTGCCTTGCACAGGGCCAACCACATCCCATAATGTCCCCTGTAAAACTTGGGATGGTTCCTGAGCATAATAATGAGTACCCTGAATAACAATGAGCACTGATGAGCATGGCCCAAAAACCAAAAAAAGAAAAGAATTTCAGCTTATTTGGGGCCAGTGAGATAGTAGTGGGTAGGGCACTTGCCCTGCACACGGCTCACCCAGGTTCACTCCTTGGCACCCTTTATAGTTCCCCAGCACCTCCAGGAGTGACTCCTGAGTGCAGGGCCAGGAGTAAGCCGTCAGCATCACCAGCTGTGCCACCTCCCTTCCCCCCAAAACACATATGTGTAAAGGGCTGAGTTATATAATCAACGACAGCAAGGAAAAGTCGTGAACATGAGAAACTTTAAATCTTGCCGGGATAATTAACAGTTAAATAAAATACCTAATACCTAATGCTAGTTCAGAAGAAACAATAATTGTAATTATTGCAATAATTTGCCTTGCATTAATTATATATGTGTTACATATATTAATTATATAGCCAGGTTTGATTCCTCTGCCCCTCTCAGAGAGCCCGGCAAGCTACTGAAAGTATTCCACCCACATGGTAAAGCCTGGCAAGCTACCCATGATATAGTCGATATGCCAAACACAGTAACAACAAGTCTCACAATGGAAACGTTACTGGGCCCGCTTGAGCAAATCAATGAACAACGGGAGGACAGTGCAGTGCTACTGACACTACTGTGGCAAGGACAGGTGGAGCATTAGGTTCAAAGCCTGAGGGAATGAACAGGAAACACTGACAAAGCCAACTTATCCAAGAGCTCCTATGCTGCTACATATTTGCAAAGAGTGAGTAAAAGGAGTGTCTAGTACAAAAGTTTAGAACTGGGTGTAATTTATCTAAATTGAAAAGACAGACTGCACAACCATCATCAGAGAGGCAATATAGCATCTGATTTTATGGGCAGACTAATTTATCCCACTTTTAGTAGAAGGGCACTTAAGAACTGTACGTCTAATCCCAAATCAATGAACATAAATTTATAAATCCAACATGATAACAAGTAGAGGGTCTTTACTGTCTTGTCTTTACTCCAGAATCTTTTGTTTGTTTGTTTCTGGGCCACACCAGGTGGTACTCAGGGCTTACTCCTTGCGAGCTGGAGAGACCATCTGGGATGCCGAGGCTCAAACCCTGGTCACGCTGTACTATTGTTCCAACAGACAAAAATCTCATTTTTAATCTTTATTTGGTAGTCATTTCCTCAATTCAAAAAGCTCAGGGAAAATGTCTTTGGTACTATTATTTTTCTTGGTTCGGTGGGATGGCTGTAGCCGCACATATGCAAGGAAACTGCTTCATCACTGAGCTAGCTAAGGGTGCTAGAAATTTTTACCTATCTTTCCTTCCTTTCACTTTCAGCAGCTTTTGAAATTTTCAGAGGTCTTCCACTGTGCATGCTGCATTAAAGAAATGTCTGCTATTTGTATAATTAAATTTATTTTAGAAACAATATGGCACAGACAGAAACTAAAAGCAAAGGCCAGGGAGAGGGAGAGAGAGTTCAGTAATCAGGGCATTTACCTTACACAAAGCAAACCGAGATTTGATCCTGGACACTGAATAAGGTCCCCTATGCACCGGTAAGAGTAATCCCTACACATAGAGCCAGGAGTTAGGCCTAAACACTGCCAGGTGTGCCCCCGCAAAATTAAAAAATAAAAATAATGAGGCTGGAGCGATAGCACAGGGAGTAGGGCGTTTGCCTTGCACGCGGCCGATTGGGGTTCGATTCCCAGCACCCCATATGGTCCCCCGAGCACTGCCAGGGCTAATTCCTGAGTGCAGAGTCAGAAGTAACCTCTGTGCATCGCGGGGTGTGACCCCAAAAGGAAATAGCACCGTAGCACTGTCCTCCCGTTTTTCATCGATTTGCTCGAGCGGGCCCAGTAACTCTCCATTGTGAGACTTGTTACTGTGTTTGGCATCTCGAATATGTCAAGGGTAGCTTCCCAGGCTCTGCCCGGTGGGAGAGATACTCTTGGTAGCTTGCCGGGCTCTCCGAGAGGGGCAGAAAAATCCAATGCGGGTCGGCCCAGGCGGCCGCGTGCAAGGCAAACGCCCTACCGCTGTGCCAACCCTCCTAAGCAAATAAATAAATAAATAAATATAAATTAAATAAAACAAAATGCCTACATGAGATTGGTGCCAAAACAAAACAAAACAAAAAAAAAAAACCCTGCGAAATTCATAACGGAACAGTTGACCTGCCTGAGTCAACTGGGTCGACAGCTGACTCCGTTACCGCGCCTGGCGCTAGGACAGCAGGCGTTGGCCAACCTGGGTTCGATCCCCAGCATCCCCTCTGATCCCGAGCATCACTGATGCGGCCCACTGGATCGGAGCTCGGGGTCTTGGCGCACCCCATGCGCCTGCACTTGTAGGTCTGTCCTGTTTTCCGTTTGGGGGCCACCACCAGCAGGTGCTTGGGCAGGGGAGCGGGGGGCGAGGGGAACACCCCTAAGAGTGTCCCTCGTGCGAGGCGAGCGCGCTACCCGCTATCAGCCTCCAGCCTCATCCCGCTCCGGGAACACGGTCCGGTCCGGTGCTGCAGCGCCGGGGGAAGGGGCGCCGGCAAGCAAGTAGCGACTGTCCGCGACTGTGGTTTGTTTTGGGTGGGGGGTGGGGGGAGGGTGACTCTCGGGGCTTTGAGCTCGGGGGACCGTGCGGGGTGTCGGGGAATCCAACGCGGCCGTCCGGGGAGGGGGAAAAGATGAGCGCTCAGGCCCCACCGACTCCGGAAATCCCCTCGCCCGGGGGCGGTCGGCGGCGGCGGACTGGGGGGGGGGCGTGGGCCGAGACGCCCCGGGCCGGGCACTGACCTTCACTCTCCCGCCGGAGTCAGGCCCAAATTCGGCCATTCTCTTGAACATATTGTCCTACGGAAGAAGCCGCCGCCGCCGCCAGGGAAAGAGACCGCGGCCGGCGCGGTGGCCGCTGCCCTCCGGGGCCCTCGCGGCGGGGTTTGGCCGGGCGGGCGCGGGGCGCGGGGCGCGGGAGCACCGCTGGCTCCTCCCGGCGGCCGCGGACCCGGAAGCCCATTCAGGCCAGCGCGCCCAAGCGAGCGCGGCGGAAACGGCGGCGGCGGCGGCGGCGGCGGCGCAATGCGCAGGCGTAGCGGGGCGCGCACGCGCACTGCGCACAGCCCGGCCCGCGCCACCGTTTGCTGCTCGGGGCGGGACGGGGACGCCTACGCGTCCGCGGAGCCCCAGGCGTCTCCCGTGAGCCTCCCTCCCTGGCAAGGGCGCCTAGTGGCTCACGGCTGAGAGGATGCTGACTTTTAGAAGCGATGCCCAGTCTTCGCTGACGGGTTCCGTTTCTCAAGTCCATGAAATCGACTGGCTTTTTTTTTTTTTTTTGCTTTTTAGGTCACACCTGGCGATGCACAGGGGTTACTCCTGGCTCTGAACTCAGGAGTTACTCCTCCTGACGGTGCTCAGGGGACCATATGGGATGCTGGGAATCGAACCCTCCGGTCGGCCGCGTGCAAGGGAAACGCCCTACCCGCTGCGCTGTCTTCTCCAGCCCCTGGGACCCTTTCTTAACGTCCCTTCTCTCCTTGTAGTCTCAGCTGTGATTCCAGACTTCTCTCATTGACACTGCCGTCCCTCCGGTGCCTTTCTGGGGCGCTAAACGGCTGCGCAAGTGGGTGCAGCCTTGAGTGAATGGTCTCCCTTTTAATTGCTTCAGTTGTCCACAAGGGGTCGTCGTCCTCCTCACCCCTTTGTGCTTAGGGATCACACCTGGCAGGGCTTTGGGGACCAGATGTGTGGTGGATCAAACCCAGGTGCGTCTTGTGCAAGGCCAGCACCCTACCCGCTATACTTTCTTACACACACACACACACACACACACACACACACACACACACACACACACACACACACACACCTGGCAGGGCTTTGGGGACCACATGTGTGGTGGATCAAGCCCAGGTGCGTCTTGTGCAAGGCCAGCACCATACCCGCTATACTTTCTCTCCAGCGACCCCTACACACACACACACACACACACACACACACACACACACACACACACACACATAAAGCAAAGCAAAGCAAAGCAAAACGTTTTTTATCGTTTAGCATGTGGAGCCCACACCTGGCGGTGCTCAGGGTTGCTGGTAGTGATACTTAGGGGACTATGCGCGGGTGTCTGGGACAGAAAGTGGGAATCAGGCATAATTTGCCTTAACCTTTATTTTGTGTTCCAGCCTCTCTCTTTCTCCACTTTTCTCCGGCTTCAACTTTTGGGGTGAGGGTGGGGGTGAGGGCGACATAAACCCTTTGAGCTTCCTCTTTGCTCACTTCTTTCTTATCATCGAGGGAGCTGGAGCGATAGCATAGCGGGGAGGGCGGTTGCCTTGCACGCAGATTCAATTCCCAGCATCCCATATGGTTCCCGGAGGACCGCCAGGAGTAATTCCTGAGTGCAGAGCCAGAAGTAACCCTTGTGCATGGCTGGGTGTAACCCAAGAAGCCAAAAAATAAAATAAAATAAAAACAGATTTCATTGAATTTCACAGGGAAAACCTTCAGACCTAAGCACAAGCTTTGCTGACTTTTCTCTTATTTGCTTTTCTTCTGTTCAAGAGAACAATCTTCCTTTAAAACCAACCCTTCTGTCTGCATTCTTGATTTCTTTATTAATTCCTGAGGATTTTGTCTCTGTGGTAGTTCCCATTCTACTCTATCTCTGCAAGTGTTCTGCTTTGTCTGATTTCACATGAAAAAGGTGTTAAACAAGTTTAAAACTATTGAAAACCCAACACATACATCTTTAATCTGCATCTCAATCTCTATTGTGGCTTTCAAAATCAAACTTGACAGTTTGACATTTTATATCTCTTTGCATATGCCAAATAAATTCTTTATCTGAATTTCCCAGTCACTAACTTCTGTCTGTCAAGTTGGTGTCCTCTTACCCTGAACTCAGCTTTCTGAGGAAATTGGACACTGCTATCTCCTGCCTCTGCTGTGAGCTCTCCAGGCTTTTCCCTCATTCTCTGGCAGTTGGTTTCTAAGTCTTGTCTTTGCTCTCCTCTGTGTCCCGGTAGTGCCTAGAAGGTTTTAACACTTATGTACTATGTATGAATAGAGTGTGATGGAGTCACCAGGGTAATATGAGTATCTCAGTCACCTTAGTGTTCTTATTCCGCTAGAGAACATTTGTGATTAGCAATCCTTGTTTGTTCGTTGCTCAGTGAACAAAGGGATGAGGAGATTCAAGAAGACAAAGCTATTTTTCATGGGGTCACTGAAGCCAGTGAACTCATTAATGTTAGTTCATGCTCACTGTCACCATCCTTCATAACACAGTATAGAATTCATGTCCCTTATCCCCTTACCCACCCCGTGGGGGGTGAGGGTGCAGGGCTCCCAAGAGTGCTCAGTGCTCAGAAGACCTAGGGGCCCCATCTAGCAGTTCTCAGTCAGCCAGGCTGGTGGTTCAGTACAAGGGCGCAAGGATGCGATATTCCTTGGACTCTGCAGTGCTGGGAGTACCCAGGCCAACCTTGGCAGTGCTGAGAACCAAGAGAGCTGTGCCCGGTAATGCTGACAGACCAAGTGGGGCCACAGTTGAATCCAGCTTCCCCCCTATATTCAGAGAATTTTTATTCTTTGCTGTTGGGATATAGCTCTAAACATTTCAGGATAACATTGGTATGTCCTGTTTCCCTTGCCGCAGGGAGCTTAAGTTTATCACAGTGCTCCTGAGGCACTTCCATTCCTCTGTGTTATCTGTAAACTCTTCTTTGTGCTCTCTTCCCCAACCTGTTTATCACCTTTTTCCCCTAATCTGTTAACTTGTAAGGTCAGATTCCTCAGTAATCTTAATGATTTTATATTTGTGAATGAAATATTGCTTTTCTCCTTCTCTTATGTCCTTTTGCATAGTTTAAAGCATAGACACAGGAAGACAGTTAATATTATGCTTGTGTAACATGGGAGTTAATTGCCTCCGAATAATATTCACTCCGGGGAATCTGCTTCCTCGACTTAAGTCACAGTTGCCCTCAGTTCCTAGCACCCCAAAAGCAGGGTCCCAACGAGGGACTGAATGAACCCAGGGCAAGCTGTGAGCTACCCTGGCATCGAAATGGGCCAGGACAAAGCACCACAATACTTAATTATAAGTTAAGAGCATGGTCATGGACAAATGCTGTCATGATCCAAAACGAGATTATGACACTGCTAGGGTTAGGAAAGACTTATTTGGCCTGAGCACTGTAGTCTGAGATCTATAGCGAGATGGCCCCAGGAGAGCAATCCTATAAGCTTAATGTATCTCTTACTATGTCCATACAAAATGACTAATATTTTGAATGTATGTTTGTTGGACTATAGGGAGGGGAAACACACCCATATTTTGCCCTTAGGCCAGTAGTCTTACTGGATGAGAATTTGTCCTAGAAGAAGTTCCCCCTGAGGGAAGAACGTTAAATCCGCTGATTGTATGACGCCACCTATGTGTGTCACCACAACCCCTCATGCTTTGAGATTTAACTAGGCTGTAAGAGTGGGCTGGGGAAGCCAGAAGGAGAATGAAGTAGAAGCAGGAAGAAGAAGCAGGAGGAGAATCAGAGGAGAATGGAGAGGAGATTGGAATAAATGGCAGTTGAGACCAACCAGCCTGGCCCTCATTCCTTCCTTCATCCACCTGTTCCCATCGGCCTCCCGGGGGTGGGGGGAGTGACAGAGACCACCAGGGAGGTGGGGAGAGAGAGCCGCAACGCGGCCCCCTCGTAATTTGTTTTTTGAATACACGCTTTGCTTAAAATATACTCTATCTTTACAGTGAAATAATGCTTAGTCAAATGAAATTAAGAAAATATATAAAAATGCATGCAGAAATTTTAGAGAAAAAAATGAACACAGGGGCTGGAGCCATAGTACATTAGGTAGGGAGTTTGCCTTGCACACGGCTGACCAGGGTTTGGTTCCCAGCATCCCATTTGGTCCCCCGAGCACTGCCAGGAGTAATTCCTGAGTGCAAAACCAGGAGTAACCCTTGTGCATCGCCAGGTGTGACCCAAAAAGAAAAAAAAATCACAGCTTACTCCCCAAATTTCTTTAAAATAAGTTAATAACTTTCCAAGAAGGAATCCATCTAAGATGAATGGGGATAATGGCAGAATGAGCCTTGAAATCTGGACTGCAAGTGGCATGTAGAGTAGGATAATTCTGAGATCTGAGCAGTCAGAGCTATAAACTTCCCAATTTACATTCAGAAATCTTTCAAGAATTTATTGTTGGAGTCAAAGAGATAGTACAGGGGTAAGGCTTTTGCCTTGCACAAGGCCAACCCTGTTTTGATCCCCTGTACTATATATATGTTCCCTGAGCACTGCCAGAATAGGTTCTGAGCATTCCTGGCTGTGTCTTCGCTCCTTAAATAATTTTTTGTTTGTGGGGAATCTTTGGAAATAAGAGGAGGGAGGAAGAAGAGAGGAGCTACTAAAAGATAGTTTGAGAATCTGTTCGGGAAATATTAAGATTTGTCCAACCAAGCAAATGACCTTTGTATACCACGAGGGATAAAACAAGGCTAAAACAGGGGCCTGAGCTTGAAAACCACCAGATAAAAGTTGAGGGAGGAATAACAAAGGGAAAAACGAACTGGTTAGCCAAGCACAAGGCCTCCCACGTGCTGAAAGCTGTATCCCTCATCTCCTAAACTTGGCTACCAGGCTTTTGTTTTCCATCAAAGAATAGGGAGAAACTTCACTGACATCTCAGAGGAGAGACTGAAGGATCTTTGACTAAATGCACTTGATCCAAGGCTGGAGCAATAGCACAGAGGGTAGGGTGTTTGCCTTGCACGCGGCCGACTCAAGTTCGATTCCCAGCATCCCATATGGTCCCCAAAGCACCGCTAGGAGTAATTCCTAAGTGCATGAGCGAGGAGTAACCCTGTGCATCACCGAATGTGACCCAAAAAGCAACAACAACAAAAACATGCACTAGACCCAGTCTGATTATCCTTCGGTGCATGGGAGTCAAATCCACACTGGTCCTGGAAACCTCATTTAAATTGATAAACAAGAATGACA